TTTACAAAGCATAACAATTAACAAGCAAAGCAATTTGTATCGTTTAGATTTAACTTCGCTTTCAACCCCTTATTGTTGTAAAATTTCATTCATTTTGATAGTAAATTTCTTTTTTACCTGGTTGATTGTTTGGCTACTCAATCTCGAAAGAAACTTCTTATCGAGCAATTTAGTAATTTAACGGAACACTTTTCGATTCCAAGAATTCTTTTTGATCGCATAGAGACAGCCATTCAATTTATTACGTATCAAAGTGTATATAAAACATTTCAAAATTAAATCATGTACAAAATTTCTATCACATGACCAAATTACCGTCTATTTAAACGATGTATGTAATATAAAGCTGCTATTACAACTGAAGCAGACCCTTTTTCCAAGCATTTGAAACACCTCAAATTCATTCCTAAATTAAAGAAAATGTTTAAAAACATACAAAATGTTTCATAATGCTTTAAGTATTTTATAAGATAAATATTGTGTTAGATTATCTGTTGGATTACATATAAGCATGACTATGATAAATGAAATGTATGGTCTCAATAAGGAATTTAAATCCATAAGAGCTGTTGTTTTTGCACTAAGTGTATTTTAGGTTTTCTTCATATTTTCTTTGCTTACCATTGAAGAGGCAATTTGGCTATTAATGAAAGTTCTCATTTGAATTCTGGCGAGTTTTTTTTAATCCTTCTCAAATTCATTCCGAACTTTTGAATGTATCCCAGGCCAGCCATAAGAAATAAGCATCAAATCAAGTGACTCGTCTCCATCATCACAGCCATTTTGATTTCTCCTTGATCTTTTCAGCGTCAAGCTTATCTGAAGTGATGTTAAATGAAGATATGATCTTTGACTTTGCTGGACAATTTAAGCAATTGTCTCATAAACCTGAAAATTTAATTCAATGAAAGGAACGTAGAATGTTAAAAAGAGCCTTTCAATTCATCAAAAGTCCAAACTCTTTTTTCTCGCCTTTAGTCGACTTTTGAAATAAAACACCTAAAAAATATAACAATAGAAAACAAAAAGTGTCGAAACGCGTTTACCTGAATAATAACTTATTCGCAAAAATTAGAGAAAAATAACAAATAGTAATTCTTTATAGATAAATATGAAAATTGTTCACACTTTTTTCATGTTTAGTTACACACATATACAGTTAGCACATACAATAATGGAAAGTTTCTACTAGTAAATGATCGTGAACTAATCCTTCTACAAATAAAATTTCTTTTGCTGAAAATTTCCGAGATGTTCTAGTAATAGCAGAAGTTACATGAAGTATTGAACGCAAAAATATGGCGGTGTTGTTTTATTGACATTGACACTAAATTTTGGTCGGTTTGGTGGCGATATTTTCAACAGCTCTAGGTTTGTGAAATAAATATTATTGAAAGTTGCATGAATTGGGAATAAATTCAAAGTTTTCATCAATTATAGTTCATTAAGGCCGTTAGTATAAATAATATGTCTCTACGAAATCAAGTATGTTTTGCACATTATACAGCTTAAATTAAATAGAGAACTAAATAGAGGAATTCAACTTTGATGTATTAAAAAGTTTTATTTCTTCAAATATTTTGTTTCAGACAATTAAAGGCATTTTCCATATGTCAAAAATATTCTTGCAATATTAAATAATCGTAGCAGAAGAAACAAGAGACGAGAAATGTATCATTTGTTTTGCATGTATTTCTTGCTTCTTAAAATGACTTCTGTATTGATGTTTGATGATGATTTGCCTCATTTCAATTTGTTGAATTATGTACTTCTCTTTCTTTATCATTTCCCTCAATACTAAATCTTAGTTTTAATGTCCAATCAAATATTCATTATCACACATGCATTCAAGTTTTAGTTTACTATCATTCTCATGTGAAAATGCAAAACAACTTTATTTTATAATTCTTAAAGGTCTATCATAGTTAAAAAACATTTTTTTGTTATCTGTATTTAGAATAAAAATACTTAAGAATGGTTCCTCTAACTATTTTTGATGTAGTTACTATTTTCTCTGGCATATCCATGGAAATATATAATACATTTCAGACATTCATAAATATCAATTAGTAGAACTTTATCATTGGTTGTGATCAATCATTTTGTTTTTGTTTTCATCAAAAGGACAACTATGAAATGATAAAATAATTTGCGAAACGGTAAAATTTTTTAAGATTTTCAGACTAGTCAAATTACCAGATGGCAGCTATGTTTATATGATGCATGGCTGCGCTAATCTAAATTAAAGAAAATGTTTAAAAAACATACAAAATGTTTCATAATGCTTCAAGTATTTTATAAGATAAAGATTGTGTTAGATTATCTGTTGGATTACATATAAGCATGACTATGATAAATGAAATGTATGGTCTTAATAAGGAATTTAAATCCATAAGAGCTGTTGTTTTTGCATTAAGTGTATTTTAGGTTTTCTTTATATTTTCTTTGCTTACCATTGAAGAGGCAATTTGGCTATCAATGAAATTTCTCTTTGAATTCTGGCGAGTTTTTTAATCCTTCTCAAACAGCAGCTTAGACAAAATATAACTGAAGCAGAAATTGTCTTGTCCTAAAGTGCTAGTAATATTGGCTTTTGAATTTTGACATCAACACAAGACAAGTACTTTTCTGTGGACGGGGACACAAATTTTCATGATTTTTCATTATATTTGGGATAAAGAGTTATAATTGCAGATATTTAGTGTCAGAAAAATATGCAACAAAATTATTGTTTCGACAATTCCAAGAAATACCATTTACATTGAAAATAAATGACCAAATTAATTTAATTCCTTATAACATACCCCGGGAAAAAATATGTTTATTTTGACGTTATTCAAATTGGTCAACTATTTCAAGTGTCTCTATAAACTAAAAGAAAAATGTGCACTGCAGATGTTACATTCCGTTCATAGACAAGATACTATAAAGCCAAAGAAGGAGTATTGTCTATAAGCAACTTTTGTTCAATTTATATAGTTCATTATAATATGGTTTACCCCCTTTTTACTTAACCTAACATGAAACTTTCTAAAGTACATCAAATTCAAGCAAGGCTAGTTTCTTACATAATTTTCTTTATACATCAAATTTCACATGATTTTCCTCTCTTAAAAATGCATTAAATAAGGACAAAAAAGACACATTAGTGTTGCAACACCCCCCCCCCACCCCCCACCCCTCCCTATACATTTTCGAAGCAAAATTTACGACTTACATTTTTATAATTTACAATCCTCATACAGGAATGTGTTTTTATTGTTTTCACCGAATGTATGAAAGCAAAGTATACTTTGAACAATTTTTTTAAAAATAATAATGATTTTTGTACAATTCGTTTTCAAAAATGTTATATTGCCATTGAATGCAAAAAAGTTCTTTTAAATTTATTTAAACATTTTCTACGAAAAAAACGCTTTCCGCAAAAAAAATCTACAAGGAAATATCTCTTTTGTGACGTTGCTTTGACTCAGATAGTTGAAAGGAAAACAATGAATTGTGTGACAGGGAAAATTTATTACTAATTGCAAAAAATAAACACATCACAAAAAATTTCCTTTTAATGTTTAAATTATTCAACAGCTTAGTTGGGGAGTGAGGACAACATTCATGTACATTATAGTCCCTGAATGTATGTATTTTATTTAAGAATAAAAGATGTTTACAATGTCTTAACAGGCTTACATATTCAAACTGTCTGTAATGTGAAACAGATGAACTTAAAAACAAATGTTTAATTTTTGCTTTAACATGATTTCATGATTGATTTGCAAATTCTTTTCGAGTGACTAAATTTATTGATCTAGGATCGGTTTGCACAAGCTAATGCAAACTCAGCGATAGACCAATCACCGTGTGCATCTTCTTGTTTCTATTTTGTAAAGGAACTTGATGGGGCAGAGCATAAGTATTGAACCCCCCCCTCCTCAATTACCAACCAGTCCACACCACTGTTAGTTACGTACACCACTTATGGGTAGTAAAATGTTCTTTTACTTTCAAATTCACCATTCCTCTGATATTATCCAGTAGACCAATAGTTTCAAAGGTTTCCAAGGATTTTTTGGTACCACTGAGAAAATAGGACAAAAAACTACTTCGACATTTGCCGGCTTTCAAGGCTTTTCAAATCAGGCTAAAAAAACAGGTACAAAATATAATTGTTTACAAAGACCATTCAAGGACTTTGAATCATTCATTTTATTTTACTTATAAAACAACGTGAACATTATTCTTACAGAAGATGTTTCCATGAACGTTAACCATTCAAAATCTGATGGAAAAAACGTCGATGTAAACGATGTTTACATGACTCATATGAAACGTCTTAATGAGGATGTTTGCGAATGGATCAAAAAGCACATCTCTCAAAATCCTTATGTTGATCTATCGCCAGTTTTTAAAGACCATGAGAAACATTTATCAACTCTTGAGAAGAAATATCGCTCATATTCTGTGGATGACTGCGATAATAAAACTATGGCTACTGCTTTTACATTTCCAACGTCAATTTCTACTGCAGCGTCTGTAAATTCTTCTGTCTTCACTTCAACATATGGATGTGTTATTTCCATATCTGTCTGTGGTCCACTGTTATATTTATTTGACTTAGCTAAGACTATTGATATGTACGTTGTACATGGATTACATGGGAAATACTAAATTGTGAGGCCAACTGTTATGATGCAGCGCCATATTGAAAATTCCACTTAAATGAGTATTTTTAATGAAGTGATTTTGGCATCGATAGCCTTAGATTTTGAAGTGTCATTACAGAAGGAAGCTTGGTCCTTAACGTGAACAGTTGATCTCAATGGACAAAATTAAAATCAAAGCAGTGAGTGTAGAAAACATTTCCTTAGTTGCTTTCCATCAGTGTTTGTTGTTTTCAATCTGCGCACAACATCATAACACGAACCAAATCATTTAAAATACATTTTCTCAACTTCGTGATTATTCAAAATGGCGACCTACTGTCGTTTCCGGCTTCAAATTTAATCTGAGATGTGCGATCCATCTACGTAATATAGCTACAGTGTACATATCAACTGTTAAGACAGGTTGTTAGATACATCTCGTTAGCTTCTTATCATTATCGACTCGCAAATGCGCTAAACAAAAGAGATGTATAACATTACTCCTGATTATATTCTCTACTTGCGTTTTCTCTGCTTTCATTAGACATATTAAATATACTGGATATTTATTACTGTCCTTTCAGCGAGCAATCTAAGTCCGGCAACATCAATACCATCAGTCAATAATACGACAGAACCTGAGGACGAACCGAAAACACAAAGTCAAATCAAGAGGTACGTATTGAACGATGTTTTGTGTGGGTTATTTGGCAAATTGCTTGTAAAAATGTTATATACCACTAGGTCCACCAGGAAAGTAACATGTAATTATATGTTCTTTTCATTTTGAGATTCATATTCATGTGTCTTGTTGCCATTGTAACAGAGTTGCCAAACCATTGAAATAAAATACAATGAACGCTACCTGAAGCAAATAATTGAACCCAAATCTTACACCAGACGCGCGCGATTTTACCCCAGACTCGCGTGTCTGGGGTAATGTCACGGCTTCCAAAAATTATTAAGGTTTTGTATTACAAGTAGTGTTCCATGTATTTTCTTGCAATGTGCCAAACTGCGTCTTCACAAACACGCGTTGATGTTAAAATATTAGAAAAGAACTTATTATACGACGTATTTCCAAGTTCTCTATTTCATTATGTTTATATTGAAGTCGTTTTTTGTGCGATGCGATCTTACTCAGATCAACAAAGCGTAATGGAATTAAATATTTTCTGTGTCATTCTAAATTAACATGATACTTTTTCACCATTTCAGTTTGCGAGAAGAAGATGCTTTTTTCTCACTTCGTTGCAAACTCTTCTTTAAAAAGACAGATGATTGGTCTGAACTTGGTGTAGGAATGTTAAGCTTAAAGAAAATTCCGATGAAAAGATTCAGGTGATAATACGTAATGATACTGCCTTGGGTAAGATTATTCTTAACGTCATCATTAATGAATCTACACCCATGTCAAGATCGGGGAAAAATAATGTGTTGCTTCTAAGCGTGCCAAACCCGCCCGTATTTAGTAATTCCAAGCGATAATTCCAAGCCTGTCAGTTATTTAATCAGGGTAAAAAGTGCAGAAAATGCCGAAGAACTTCTCACGAAAATGAAGCCATTGTAAACGTGTGCTGATTACGGAAATATGTGGTTGATCATGTCATCAAGTTCAGTAGAGAAGTACTTGACAGAGTCGTGGGGATGATTTTATCGATTCTTAATGAAGGGATGATTAGTAAAGAAAGATGTGTAGCTACCTGGTAGCTGCTTGGTGAAGTTTTGTAGAATACACAGGGTTTTTAAAAAAGTGATAATATCTTATTGTAAGATTAAATGGCAACATCTCAAAATGGCACCCTGAGTTGAACAAACAGAGCTTATAAAATCTGAACAATCACGAATATGGAACTTTTGGTCACTTATATACTTCATATATATATTGCTGAACTGTCGCAAAGCTTTTGTAGCTCTGTTTTACATACCTTTATTAAAACCTATTGTAAATATCCATGCTTTCACACTTTGCTACTGGATTTATTTTGTGGCAGTTGTTGTTTGAGGCTGAACACGCGTTGCTTCCGATAAGTTTATTTATAACATTCAATGAAAACTTATACATTGCAAGAAATTACAAAAACTACAAGTAAGCACATGCTGATACACGTAATTTACATAAAAGTCGCTACATGGTTGGTTGATAATAATCTATCATTAGATTAAGTTCACAATGATATGGTGACATTATTACACAATTTACTACACTTTCCTTATTTCATTATAAAGACGTGGCTTGGCAAACGCCTTACATTACACTTATACATATGGCAGTGTCATTTTGGCTACATAGAAAATGTTGAAAATTATCTAATTTAACTTTACTTGTTGTCTTTGTAAATATATTTACTAATTATCTTCGTTGGCAATTAATTATCGGGTAAAATAATTAATTAAACGTATCTTGGGTAAAATCTCGTGTGTCTGGGGTAAAATCACGGCTTCAAAAAATTTGATCTAGGATAGTAAATGTAGTCTATTGTAAACAGATTCTGTGAAAACCATTGACGTTTTAGCATTTCAAAAATATTTTCTCTAATAAAGCAAGGATGTTATTTACAAATGAAGTAATTCATACACAAATTAATAAATAAAAGATTTTTACAGCATGTGTTTGCACAGGCTTATGCAAACCGAGGAGACCTTCGGGAGAACTCGAGAGCAGATCATTGCAAGCCTGAGACCAAAGGTCGAGGGTTGCACATGGTCAAGAATTTTTACCCCAGACACACTTGCATAAGCCAGTGCAAACGCGAAAAACATCTTTTATTTATTTTAAAAAATAACAATAATGCGAACGAAAAAACTGTTATAATATTCTTTTAACGTGTAGTCATGATTAATTTGCAAATTCTCTTTGATTGATTGATTGATTTGATAGGTTGAGCTCAGATCGTTTTTCGCAGACTAATGCAAACACAGGTCTAAAACAATCAGCGCACGTGTTTCATTGTGTATATTTTATAATATGAAATAATGTCGTGCAAACAATACTTTAACTTTACATAACAGTATATTTTATGAATTACCAAAACTTTCTGAGATATACCGTTCTAATCTGGTTATGATTCCTAACAGATGTATATCATGAGAAAGATTAACACTTCATTTTAGCTGTAGTCTGTACTAAGCAAAATTTCAAAAAAATGAAATGTTTTCACTAATAATTCATAATTTGCATTCATTGTACAATCATAAACATTGCAATTGAAAAAATGGTACTTTATGCTGTGCTTGATGTTTGGTAAATCATAAATGATTAGAAACATAATAATTCATGAATGCAGTATCTGACGTCATTTTCTAAAATCGTCATCCATTTTGAGTGAGACAAAATGATTCTTAATTTTTATTTCGATATCATATTCTAGACATTTCTGATTCCTACAATGCATCAAATTATTGGTAATCAATCTACAGGATTAACAAGTCCCAACGGAAAAACTGAATGTCAAGATTTACAATAGATTAATTTTTTCAAGATTTCTTTTAATTACAAAGTATGTCGAGGTTAGCCTCTCTTTTGGAAACACATCATGAACAGGTTTTATTAATTTTATTTTAATGCAATCATGGTCATCTCTGGTTGGTGAGCAGTACAAACGGCATGGTAGGTAGCATTCACCAGCATTGTCTTGCGGAATCCACGTAATAACTTTATGTAACTTCAAAAGAAAATCTTACGGCTTCATTTGTAAATTATCAAAGATAATGTAATTCAGTAAATCATTTGATTTGTTAATAATATTTTATTCTTAGCAGAAGTGAAACTTCATCATTTTACTTTATTTATAGATTATGATAATATCTACATTTACTTTATATGATAATATTGTTGATTACAACTTGTTTACACGTAGTTTTGTATTACAGATACATTTCAACAATGGATAAAAATGTCAAACACACAGCATTTTCTACATAAGCTTTCAAATATTCCACGACATATTTTACAAAAAGCATCTTCGATTAGAATTAGGATTTTAGTGTATTTCTTTGATATGATTCCACATCACTAGGATCTTTCGTCAGAGTCTATAAAATTTTATAAAATTTGACTCTCAGAAAAGCGATTTCCTGCTTTTAGTATACATGAAGGAATATAAGAAAACCCTATTCATGATCTGAACGGAAAAAAAATTCGCAAATTTTGGCCAGTTTTAAATTTTTTCAGTTAAAAATTTGATAATCATATTATTGTTCCATGGTAGAAATAGAAAGATGAAGCACGTCATTTTTTTCAAGGAAAAGTAAAAGAACAATACAATACACTACAAAAATTAATGCATCATCTTTCTTCCTGTGTGCAGAAAGTAGTATGCATGGAACATGATAATACAACCAATGTTCAAAGAGAATACCAAGTCTGGTAAAGAAACATTTCCGAATTGGGTAGCATGATTCAATAATGCAGGATGTAACAGATACCAAAGAGAACATACACATGATTGATGACTACATAAAACTGTGTGCATTATTCTTAGCTTTTTCCACAGCTGCTGCAATATAGCTGTGCTATTCACATACTGAAAGGGAAGTATCAGACAAACACAAAGCAAATCATTTTGAAAACATGTAAATGCCCCATCATTATGTTTTTTATGAGTTAATGGATAGTGAGCATAATACTCATCATTCTAAAAAATTCAATGTTGGTAAGGCAACATAGATAGAGTGATAAACTTTTATCCCCTACCATTGAAATAGAGCATGCATAGTACACACAGTTCCCATCAGCCAGTGTACTAAACATAAAGAAGTATTTGCAATATTCAAAGGAAGAAAGTGATAAATACCAAACTTACATTTACTTTCAAGCTACATAAAAATGATAAGAGTAGTCGGTGTATATTATAAACACATACTTTGATAAATCAGAGTAAAGGTCATGAATAAGGTGTTTTGAGTGGAGCTGGTTGATGATGTTGGTATAAAAATACAAATAGTGTAAAATATTTGGTAGATTTCCTGCACAGTCGAGTATCGAGACTATATAGGCAGTGTGGGAATTAATGGTGTGCAATGTGCAATTTGCACATCGTTTTAGTTTGAATGAAAACATTTGTACATCAAATTTTCAAAACGATATGCAAAAAACTTCTTTATTGATTACTACCACATAAGTTGAAAAAAGTTTTCAAGCTTAACTTTACTGATATTTACTTTATAAACTAGTACGCTGCACGACAATAAAATCCATGTTGACACAATGCCATCAAATTTTAAAGACGTTGTAACTTTGAGACTGGTAAGACTGCCAGCAGTCAACTTACACTGTGCTTATGTGCTTATGAAAATAGGAGTGTAATACATTATTAATGTCAATTTTTGCATTTGCGTTGTTTTGTAAACCGTTACGTATTGTTTTTGGCAATTGGCATCATAGCTATGTTGAGTTTTTTCAGTAAAATCGGGAAATATGTTTATATTGATTCTTAAAAAAAGATAAAAAAAACAAATTAATTAAGCCAAATTTGAAAAATAACAAAAGGGAGTTGTGATTTTAAATAAGCCTAACGTGAGTAAATGAAGACAAATTTGGCTAAAAACATTAAGCCAAACTTGGCTCAAATTATTATGCCAAACTAGCAACATTGATCAGACATAATTTTTGCTTCTACATATTGCTTGTAATATGACATAAATATGATGTTTTTTATCGTAAGCAAACATCAAGGATGTTAATGTTAATAATCAGGAAGCGAAAGTATATTTGGTTATTCTCTTTTAAATTTTGTCTTTCTTGCCGTTTTGGTCGAAAGGTTGTAGCTACCAGCAAAGTTAATACAGTAAAAAAATGGATGGGAACATCAAATGCTGACTCGTTTGAGTACTGGGAAGATGGCCACTTGGTGAATTTATTGCGCTGTAAAGTTTGCACAAAAAGAGGAGAGAATAACATGCGCAAAAATTTCTCTAATACATTATTAATTGACCAGTGGTTGTAACGAAAAATACTGTCGTAAATCATATGAATTTTTCACGTTTAAAAATACTAATTTAGCAATTAGCGCTATATAATAATTAACGTAACATCGATTTGATTATGTCTCTAAAAACACTTTTATCAAAAAATTGCGCATCGTTTTTCTCAACTTATTCCATACTGTATATAAGTAGTCTAACATAGCACTTTGATGTCACATGAAAACATAGTGAAACCATATTTATAAACTAACATAAATACCAATTAATAACACGTACTTCATAATATCTATAATCGTAAATAATGTTACTTTATTGGTGGACAAATTTCTTTGTAAAGTTAATGATTAGGTTTCTTAGGTATATGATAGTATCAAAACATTGTAAAACACACAATTAATCAATTCATCGTGTATTCTTTAATATTTTGCCATACCAAGAAATGCATAATATAGTTAGCTTGATTCATGAATATACTATCATCATGTATCCTAGCCTAAAACAGTAGAAGACTCATAAATATTTTAACATCAATAATTAAGAGAAAAACCTTTGATTTTGATCGTTCTCTCTGACTGTTAGGAAACTGTGTTTTCAAAATTCGCACAGCTGCACTGTAATTTGTTTACAATCACCTACACGATTTTGTCTCTCAGGAATAGCTTTTCGCATTGTTCTCAAAGCAATATTAATTCACTAGTGATATCCTTCGAGTTATAATTCCCAAAAGCTCGATGACTTTCGATAAAGCAATGGAATCCATGTTTTAAGCGGAATTGTCGAGAATATTGTCCGAATATAAACTGACAACACGCACGGCACGTAAGTCGATATTAGGATTAAGAAATTTTTAATTTAGTCGAATTACTCTGAAATTGCGCAATAAATATTGCGCAACCGTGGCCAACTGTGATCTGCCACAATCAGGTGATCAAAATTGTGAGTTTTAATTGGTTGGACATTATTTGGAATTATGTCACTGTGGTCAAAAGTGCCGAAATTGCGCAAGAAAACGCTCACTGACCGTGTCAAAAGGTAAGATTTGCGGTCGTCCTTTTAATCGTAACAGCAAAACTGGAATTCGAACAGCAATCGAGTTATCGTTTTGTAGGATAATCGGATTACATTAGAAAAATCTAAACGGCGGAATAATACGAGGATTTATAAAATCTGCCGCTTAAATGCAAATTTTGAGTACGTCAACAAGTGCAATTCATGTGTTTTTTTTAGTATTTTTGGTTAAAAATAGAATCAATAAACTTAATAAGCTAAGAAAATTTATGTTTTATGTCTGAATTTCAAGATTTTTTGTCGAATTCTGACTGTGTCCAGTGCCACCTTGGATACCCCATGGATCCGCCCCTGTATAATATGTATTTGCCGGCTGGGAGGTCCGTCTACGGAGAAAATAGTTTGACAAGGTCTACAACTTGATGTTGAGACTAAATTTGGATACCTTCAATGTGACTCTGAAGATGACTACCGCTAAGGTTGTCGAAACGTCAGTCAACAACAACAAAAACAGTCCTTCTCAGAAATATACCAACCTGGACGATCGAAATTTACAAACATGTAACATTCTGCCTACTCGTTCAACAATTTACAACGCTTTCGATTCAATTTTATAAATGAATGATGAACTTGACTGAATGAATGACTGAGATGAAAAATCTTACGATAAACTTTAGAACTTCAACCTGCTTCATTCGCCAAAAAAAATTTAGCCATGTACCTTCTCAGATAGACTAGTTAAATGCTTCGCTTCGGTCTTTTGTCTATATTTTTTAGGAATCTCTCGTATGGGTTTTTATAGTAAGACATTTGTTACAGAGCATTTATAAGAACATATTAAAAAACATTCTAATCGTCTGCACTAATAAGGATCCATTACACGTTTTCTACTGCAATCGGAGGAGACTACGACTTGTGTCCAAAATTCCTCAACACAAAATGTTTGCATTTATTGACAGTACTTTATGGAAATATTTATGCTCTTCGAAGTAGCTCTTAAAAGTAGCTACGACGCGTGCAGAATAGCCAAAACTTTTGGTGATTCTAAGTACTTCATACGACTGCAATTTGATTTCTATAATTAAAATATGGACTGTGTCGCATTACCTATCAAAATCTTAGACATTTTTGGTTCACGCCCTTGACAACAAGAAATTTTTGAATCTTTGATTTTCTCGCACCTTTGCATTTAAAACAAATTTTTATGTCATTTCAAATGAATTTTAGGCATTGTCAGAAATTTTCAAAGAAATTGAAAAATAATATTAGCAAACCAATTTCTATAGAATGTTATACTGTATGCGTTTTACTTTGGACAGTTTTTTTAAACTATGCTCTATTAATTAGCTATTTAATTCATTTTCTTGTGCATTTCTGACAAGTGTCACTAAAGCTCACCCCCTTTTTTGATAACCTGTAACCCTCTCCAAATACGCCGGTTCTACTTGCTGAGGTAGGCTGGGTTGCCATGAGAATTTGTGATGCATATGGAGAATATTTTAGAATTTAATAAAATGAGTGTTCAAAAGTGGTGGTTAGAGAAAAATTTTAGAGTTTAAGACTTTAGAACTAACAAATAAACAAACTTTGCAACATTACAAAAAAAATGACAGTGCTAAATTTTGTGATTAAAAGGGCATCCATGAATTAACTAATTAGAAAGTAACTCAAGAATGAAACTAATTCACGGAAACATATCATTCACTATTTATGTTAACCTTTAATAGCTAGGTACATGAAAAATGGCAATTGCACTTTTGCACTAAACATAATCTTTTGATCAGATGTATTAACTCAAATGACAGAAGACATATTTTAAACCAACAACCTAAGAATATTATAAACTATGACGTGGCGTTTACTTAAGAAATAAAAGTTGTTTAATGTGTTTGCACAGGCTTATGCGAGCCCGAGGAGACCTTTGGCAGCTAGAACTTGAGAGCTGATCGAGAACTTGAAAGCTCTCACAAACGTCTCTAAGGTTCGCATAAGCCTGTGCAAACACAAAAAATCATTTATTTCTTTTATAAAGCAACAATGTGAAAAAGATCTTACGGCCAACGTTGACTTAAATGTTATTCCAAAAAATGGCAACTGCAAAGATGCGAAAAATGCCATTAAAGATTTAATAATACGCTAAAGTGCGTTCTGCCACAAGAATACAACATGTATTATAAAAATATATAGCAAAAATCTGTTCAATCAACCCAATATTTTATTATTGAAAAAGTACTGTTCCATATGATCTGCAGGGCATCTTGGGTCCTTGCAGCGCAATTTCATCCCAGCCCCCTCACACACATTAAAAGGTGCTAGTTTCGCCCCTGTGCATAAGCCAGTGCAAACAAAAAAATCATTTATTTCTTTTATAAAGCAACAATAAAGCGAAACAGACAAATTGAAAACCGACGTTTTAACTTGACCCCTAAAATGCATTTATGATCGATTTGCAATTTGATTAATTTGATTGGTTGAACTCAGTTCTGTTTTGCACAGACTAATGAAAATACAGCTATTGACCAATCAGAACAACGTTACACTGTCTTTTTATAAATTGAATTCTAGTTACGTGAATGCCATTTTTATGTTGGTGTCACATAAAATATTCATTTTAAACAAACTTAAGTCAATTCTAATGCAAAAGAATGCTATTTTTTGCTAATGCTATTTTGAATTATTTTCATCACTAAAAACCTACCAAAAACAACTTAGACATTGAAAGCAATGAGATTACCTTTAGAAAAATTCACACAACCAGGGCATATTATTTATCATATATTGTCGTTGCAGGAGTCAGAAATTTTGAGTTTGTTAATTCAAGATGCTGGATTAACTTTGCAAACGAAAATGCATCGACTAATAAAACTATGTGAAATTAAAGCGTATCATCCATACTAAACAAGCTCGAAGGCTTACCCGCAATAAAGCCTTTGAAAAATTTTTTTACAAGAAGTGAAATAAATCATATTTGATCCAAGCATGTCGTCATTGTTATGAATATCTTGATATGCGTCGCGGCGGTATTCGGAGAGTAAATCAAATCAGAAAAACCAACAAAACAAGACTAAAAACAAGCAGGTTGGCTACGCCTAGGTCCAAAACTAGAACATTGATTGGGGGTCAGGAGAATATTAATATAAGTGCGAATTTTCATGTTTTGTGACCTAACATGCTCAGCAGTAGAGCGTGACCGACAAAGGAGTTACGTAAATAGGGGGGTGAATCTGTGTAGATTTATTTTCCAATTATGTACATACAAACCTGAACAATGTACACCAGCATCTTCATTATGTCTACAATTATGTGATCCCCATACATTATGTGAACAACTCGAAAAGCTATTTTCATTTCCTACACAACGAACTTCGTCTAACCATATTCTTCCACTGCCATAAGAAACATCACCTCCATGTAAAGCCCTGACAGCATAGTCATAACCAAGTTCTCGACAGACAACTTTAGCATCCTTTAAATCCCAGCCGTCATCACAAATTGTTCCCCATTCTCCATTGAAAAATACTTCCACACGACCTCTGCCACCAGAACTTTTTGGTCCCCGAAGTCTAAACATGAAATCTAATAAAAAAAAAAGAAAATAAATAGATATTGCAATACACAGAAGTCTCAACTCCGAAATATTCTAAGTTACATATATATATATTTAAATATCATGTTATGTTAGATGCCATTTTAAAATATTCTTGGGTGAAATTAATGAATTAAATTAGTAAGAAAAAATTGTTAAAAAAACTTGCATAAGTACAATATCAAAAAGTTTTTGACAACTAGACACTATTTGACTTTCATGAGTCAAAACAAATCATTTCTTTATGTAATATAAATAATTTCTTAACCTTTAACTTGCGAATTTTCCCCATTGATTTTCCATTCAATCATTTGATTTTATTGCCATATGGCAACACTGCCCCATAACTTGTTGAAACAAGCAAAAAATAAACAATAAATTGTTCACATAGACTCTTCGTTTACAGCATGGGAATTTTTATCGTATTTTTAAAATAACTGTCTTTTAATTATTCAGAAATACATTTCTAATGCTCTCTAGGAATGGCTTTCGAAAAACCTTAACGGTCAATAAAAAAGGAATTTAGAAATGAATTTTTAAGATAGACAGCACGCAATAACAAGATATAAACTTACACCGCAATGTAAATTAAGAGATAATCTTTTAAATATACAAAAAACAATTTAATGGAGCCTCATAAGCTACAGCCTACAGCTTCAAAAAGCTATAATGAATGTAAACATTCGTAACAAAACTAATAGTGTAAGGATTATCACATTCCTCCACGGAAAATATGGTCAATGGGCTGCCTTTTTCCCTGGTATTATCTAATCTTTTTATGGGCAGTCATAAAATAGGTTATTTTTAAGTATGTCCTCGTAGAAGAAGTTGTGTTTATTTAGTTAATTTACGTCCGAAGCCGTGTTTATCCTTCAAGGCATTTGTCAATATCTCTTTCAGTATTATAAAATCATATTAAATGTTTAAATTCATCATTGAGGATCCCCCCAAAAATTCAGTTTATTATCTTTGTATAAAAAGATAAATAATGTACATACAAACCTGAACATTGTACACCAGCATCTTCATCATGTGTACAATTTTGTGAGCCCCATCCTCTATGTGAACAACTCAAAATATTACTTTCATTTCCTACACAATGAACATCATCTAACCATATTTTCCCACTGCCATCAGGAACATAATCTCCTTGGAAAGCACTGACAGCAAACTTATAACCAAGTTGTCGACAGACAACTTTAGCATCATTTAAATCCCAGCCATCATCACAAATTGTTCCCCATTCTCCATTGTAAAATATTTCCACCCGACCTATGCCACTAGAACTTTTTGGTCCCCGAAGTCTAACAGAGTTGAAATCTGATTAGAAAAGAAAATAAATAGATATTGCAAAACACAGAAGTCTCAACTCCGAACTATTCTAAGTGACATAATGAAACAGAGACTTTATCGTGGTGACAAACTTAAAGGTGGATTTCAAAATAGCGACTACCAAGGTGAATGGTGATAATAACAATGTAATAGTTCTTAAAAAAACTGTTTTAACCAGAACATTAACCCAACAATTCAAAGGAACCATTATTTACAGCTAGAAAGAGACAGTATGCATTTCGGCAGACTACTCGTCAGGTGTCAACGTCTGCTAAATGAGAACCTCCAAATCATGCTATATTTATGATGTTACAAAAGCTCAATGTCGTCTCCATTTTTAGAAATGACACTTAAAACAGAGACAGATTAAACACGTAATGCTTTTGTCGGCAAAGAAAAGGATTAGTCAATTTAATTAATACCGACTCCATGACGCGTAGCTGGAATAAAAAGTGACATTTTTAAATAAATTTAAAGTTTTCATCAGAATAAGCATTGGCACAGCGAGTGTTGCTTATAAGATGTTTTCCAATCGCTGAATCTCATAGAATCTTAATTTCACTTTTACACCCACGTTATGGTAGTTGTCGTAAAGGAGCAGTTTTATTCCTGACAGAAGCTGGTACATGCTGTTTTATTCTTTCACTCAACCTTTGAAAATTCCTACCTACATAGCCAGGATCACATTTACATTTAAACTCGTAGACTACATTGCTTGATAATTGAGCAGGGAGAGACTCTATGGGAGTGGGTGGAAGAATAGTTCTTTTTGAGAATATAAAGACCACATTGCATGCAAAAAACAAACTCCAAGTGATATTTTTAGTTTCCTTCTCGATGTCATAAGAGGCCTTACCCATCCAGGAAGTTTAAGGAAAACAGGGTACTTTGCCGTTCCGAAAAGTTTATTCCGTTCATTGCTAAGAAGTCTTTTCTCTATGCGAAGATAATGAGCACAAAGCATGTGTACAGACCAGTGAAAGTTGCTTTGCGATGAATGCTTGTTAAGAACTGATGATTGCGTTTGTGTACAAGAACATCTAAAAAAGCTAATTGATTGTTTGACTTTAGTTCAGAGGTGTAATTTAGTGCAGGGTGAAGAGAGCAAAGTTTATTAAGAAAAAGTTCACGATTTATATCGTTATGAAACAAAGAAAAGGTGTCATCGACATAACGCTTATACCACAGCACATCCGGACAATCTGAATATGGAAGCATTTTGCATTCATGATAGCCAACAAAAATATTCGCAAGAACCGGTCCAAGTGGAGAACCCATAGCCACTCCGTCAATTTTTTTATACATGTTGTCATCAAAACTAAACTCCACACCCTTTTTGGCAGCCATCATTAGTTCTCTAAAGGCATTCTCAGACATGTCAGGCAAAGTCATGTCCGAGTGAAAAAGATTTTAAGCACGAATTTCATTGGTTTCTTCTAAGGGCATATTAGTGAAGAGACTAAATACATCGAAAGAACACATCGTTAGATTAGAATACATTGAAAAATTTTGTTGTTTAAGCTCATCAGTAAAAGTAAAAGAGTCTTTTAAAACGGGCGAAAGTACCACTGGCAGTTTTTTGGCTAGCTGATGTTGAGCTCAGTTAATCATGGCTAGATTTACGGATTACCTGTTTAATCTGTATCTATTTTAAGTGTCATCTCTAAAAATAGGGATTGCATTGACCTTTTGTAACATTTCAAATATAGCATGATTTGGATGTTCTCATTTAGCCGACGTTGACACCTGGCGAGTAGTCTGCCGAAATGCATAGTGTCTCTTTATAGCTGTAAATAACGGTTCCATTGAATTGTTGGGTTAGTGTTCTGGTTAAAATCATTCTTTTAAGAACTATTACATTGTCATTATTATCATTTACCATGGTATTTGCTATTTTGAAATCCATTTCTAAGTTAAATGTATACATATAAAGTATCCTGTTTTGTTAGATGCCATTGTAAAATCGACTTGGGCGAAATTAATGATTTAAATTAGCAACAAAAAATTTTTAAAAAAATTACATAAGTACAATATCAAAAACTTTGGACAATTAAACACTATTTGACTTTAATGAGTCTAACAAATTTTTTGTTTTTAAAAGTCCTCAAATCTTTATGTAATATAAATAACTTCTTAACCCTTTAACTTGCGAATTTTCCGCATTGATTTTTCATTTGATTATTTGATTTTATTGCCATATGGCAACACTGCCCTATAACTTGCTGAAACAAGCAAAAAGTAAACAGTAAATTGTTCACATAGACTCTTCGTTTACAACGTGGAATCTTTATCGTATTTTTAAAATAACTGTCTTTTTAATTGTTCAGAATACGTTTCTGGTACTCTCTAGGCATGGCTTTTGCTAAACCTTAACGGTCAGTAAAAAACGAATTTAAAAATGAATTTTTAAGATAGACAGCATGCCATTATAAGACATAAAGTTACACCATAGTGTAAATTTGGAGATGCTCCTTTTAAATAAGCAAAGAAAACTTTTAATGGAGCTTCATATGCTACAGCCTACAGCTTCAAAAAGCTATAATGAATGTAAACAAGCGTAACAAACTGATAACATAAGGATTATCACATTCCTCCATGGAAAATATGGTCAATGGGCTTCCCTTTTTCTCTGGTATTATCTAATCTTTTCATAGGCAATCATAAAATAGGTTATGTTTAGTTATGCCCTCTTGGAACAAATTGTGTTTATTTAGTTATTTTACGACGGAAGCTGTGTTTATTCTTTAGGCATTTGTCAATATATATTTCAGTATTATAAAACCATATTAAATGTTTAAACTCATCATTGAGAATCCCCCAAACAATTCAGTTTATTATCTTTGTATAAAAAGGTAAATAATGTACATACAAACCTGAACATTGTACACCAGCATCTTCATAATGTCTACAATTATGTGATCCCCATCCAATATGTGAACAACTCGAAATATTATTTTCATTTCCTACACAACGAACATCATCTAACCATATTTTCCCACTGCCATAAGGAACATAACCTCCTTGGAAAGCCCTGACAGCATAGACATAACCAAGTTGTCGACAAACAACTTTAGTATCGTTCAAATCCCAGCTATCATCACAAATTGTTCCCCATTGTCCATTGTAAAATACTTCTACACGACCTCTGGCAATAGAACTTTCTGGTCCCCGAAGTCTAACATAGTTGACAACTGATAAAAAGAAAAAATAGAGATATTGCAAAACATAGAAGTCTCAACTCCGAAATATTCTAAGTTACATGTATACATATAAAGTATCCTGTTATGTTAGATGCCATTGTAAAATCTTCTTGGGCGAATTTAATGATTTAAATTAGTGACAAAATTGATAAAAATATTACAGAAGTACAATATCAAAACTTTGGACAATTAGACACTATTTTATTTTCATGAGTCTAAAAACTTTTATTTAGACCAGTCTTTATTTCTTTATGTAATATAAATAACTTCTTAACCCTTTATTTTTGAATTTTCCCATTGGTTTTCCATTCATTAATTTGACTTTATTGCCATATGGCAACACTGCACCATAACTTGTTGAAACAAGCAAAAATCAGTAAATTGTTTACATAGACTTTCGTTTACAACATGGGAATCTTTATCGTTATTTTATAATAACTGTCTTTTAATTATTCAGAAATACGTTTCTAATATTCTCTAGGCATGGCTTTTGCTAAACCATAACGGTCAATAAAAAACGAATTTAGAAATGAATTTTAAGATAGACAGCACGCCATTACAAGACTTAATGTTACACCGCAATGTAAATTTAAAGATAATCTTTTAAATATGCAAAAAATTTAATGGAGTTCATAAGCTACAGCCTACAGCTTCAAAAGCGATAATGAATGTAAACAATCGTAACAAAACTGATAATATAAGGATTATCACATTCCTCCACGGAAAATATGATCAATGGGCAGCCTTTTTCTCTGGTATTATCTAATCTTTTTATGGGCAGTCATAAAATAGGTTATTTTCAATTATGTCCTAGTGGAACAAGTTGTGTTTATTTAGTTAATTTACGTCCGAAGCTGTGTTTATCCTTCAGGCTTTGTCAATATCTGTTTCAGTATTATAAAATCATATTAAATGTTTAAATTCATCGTTGAGGATCTCCCAAATAATTCAGTTTATTATCTTTGTATAAAAGGTAAATAATGTACATACAAACCTGAACATTCTACACCAGCATCTTCATCATGTGTACAATTATGTGATCCCCATCCTCTATGTGAACAACTCGAAATACTATTTTCATTTCCTACACAACGAACTTCATCTAACCATATTCTTCCACTGCCGTAAGGAACATAACCTCCTTGGAAAGCCCTGACAGCATAGTCATAACCAAGTTGTCGACAAACAACTTTAGCATCGTACAAATCCCAGCCATCATCACAAATTGTTCCCCATTGTCCATTGTAAAATATTTCGACACGACCTTTGCCAATAGAACTTTTTGGTCCCCGAAGTCTAACAGAGTTGAAAACTGATAAAAAAGAAAATAAATAAATATTGCAAAACACAGAAGTCTCAACTCCGAAATATTCTAAGTTACATAATGAAACAGAGACTTTGTTCGTGGTCACAAACTTAAAGATGGATTTCAAAATAGCAAATACCATGGTGAATGGTGATAATAACAATGTAATAATTCTTAAAAGAACTGTTTTAACCAGAACACTAACCCAACAATTCAAAGGAACCGTTATTTACATCTATAAAGAAACACTATGCATTTCGGCAGACAACTCGTCAGGTGTCAACGTCTGCTAAATGAGAACCTCCAAATCATGCTATATTAATAATGTTACAAAAGGTCAATGTCAACCCCATTTTTAGAGATGACACTTAAAACAGAGACAGATTAAACACGTAATGCTTTTGTCGGCAAAAGACAGGATTAGTCAATTTAATTAATACCGACTCCATGACGCATAGCTGGAATAACGAGTGACATTTTTTAATAATTTTAAAGTTTTCATCAGAATAAGCATTGGCACAGCAAGTGTTGCTCAAAAGATGTTTTCCAATCGCTGAATCACATTGAATCGTATTTTCACTTTTACACAAACGTTTTGGTAGTTGTCGTAAAGTAACAGTTTTATTCCTGACAGAAGCTGATACATGCTGTTTTATTCTTTCACTCAACTTTGAGAAATCCTACCTACATAGCGAGCATCACACTCACATTAAAAATCTTAGACTATAATGCTTGATATTTGAGCAGGGAGGGACTCTTTGGGAGTGGTTGGAAGAATAGTTCTTTTTGAGAATATAAAGACCACATTGCGTGTTCATTGTTATTGGATAAGAAAAGTTTGTCTAGCAAACTTTCCGGATATCCATTTAACACAAACATCTTCTTCAGTGAGATAAGATCAGTATCAATAAACTCTTTTGAGGACAATCTATGCGTTCGCTTTATGAAACACTTCACTAAAGAAATCTTTTCTCTATGCGAAGAGAAAGAGTCAAAGCGTGTGTACAGACCAGTGAAAGTTGCTTTGCGATGAATGCTTGTTAAGAACTGATCATTACGTTTGTGTACAAGAACATCTAAAAAAGCTAATTGATTGTTTGACTGTAGTTCAGAGGTGAAATTTAGTGTATGGTGAAGAGAGCAAAGTTTATTAAGAAAAAGTTCACGATTTTTATCGTTATAAAACAAAGAAAAGGTGTCATCCACATAACGCTTATACCACAGCACATCTGGACAATCTGAATATGCAAGCATTTTGCATTCATGATAGCCAACAGAAATATTCGCAAGAACCGGTCCAAGGAGAACCGCCACCCCGTCAATTTGTTTATATATGGTGTCATCAAAACTAAACTCCACACCCTTTGTGGCAGCCCTCATTAATTCTCTAAAGGCATTCTCACACATGTCTGGCAAAGTCATGTCCGAGTGAAAAAGATTTTGAGCATAAATTTCAATAGTTTCTTCTAAGGGCACATTAGTGAAGAGACTAGTTACATCGGAAGAGCACATCGTTAGATTAGAATACATTGAAAATTTTGTTGTTTAAGCTCATCAGTAAAAGTAAAAGAATCTTTAAAGCGCATGTTGAAAACCTCTCCAAAACGGGCGAAAGTATCACTGACAGTTGTTTGGCTAGCTCATGTTGAGCTGAGTTAATCATGGCTAGAATTACGGATTACGTTTTTAATCTGTCTCTGTTTTAAGTGTAATCTCTAAAAATAAGGATGACATTTGCTTTTGTAATATTAAAAATATAGCATGATTTGGATGTTCTCATATAGCAGAAGTTGACACCCGAGGAGTAGTCAGCCGGAAATGCATAGTGTCTCTTTCTAGCTGTAAATAACGGTTTCATTGAATTGTTGGGTTAGTGTTCTGGTTAAAACAGTTCGTTTAAGAGCTACTACATTGTTATTATCACCATTCACCGAGGTATTTGCTATTTTGAAATCCATTTCTAAGTTACATGTATACATATAAATTATCCTGTTATGTTAGATGCATTGTAAAATCGTGTTGGGCGAAATTATTGATTTAAATTAGTAACAAAAAATTGTTAAAAAAATTACATAAGTACAATATCAAAAACTTTGGACAATTAAACACTATTTGACTTTAATGAGTGTAAAAAATTTTTTATTTTGAACAGTCCTCAATTCTTTATGTATTACCGATATTTTTAATACCAAAAAAAGTGTACGTCATCTCCAAAAGGGGAAATGACGCTCAAAACAAGGATAAATTAAAAACATAATCTTTTTGTCGGCAGAGGACGGGATTGTTTAGCTTTATTAAAACAGCTTCCATAACGCTTAACTGAAAGAATCAACGGCATTTTTTAATGATTCTAAAATTGTCATCTGAATAAGAATCAGCACAATGGGAGTAATTCAAGTGATGTTTACCTATCGCGGAGTCACATGAAAATAAATTACTTTTCTTACAATCACGTTTTAGTTGTTGTCTTGAGGGGACCGTTCTATTTCTGATAGAAGTTGGTACATGCGGTCCGATCCTATCACCTAATCTTTGAGACGTTCTACCTACATAGCGAGCATTACACTCACATTTTTATTCACAAATTACATTGCTTAAAAGTTTTTTAGCGATTTTTTTAGGTGGGTGGTAGAATAGTTCTTTTCGAAAATATAAAGATAACATAGCTCGCCAAAAACAAATTATCAATGATATTCTTAGTTTCCCTTTCAATGTCATCAGAAGCCTTTATTAGAATTATAATGTTTAAGTAACCATTTTAATATAACATAACTAAATACAACGTGCAGTGGAAGAGAACAGAATAAGAATACTAATGAGATAGGATGTCAACAAGACAAAAAACCTAATATAAACATAAGTGTTAGTGCCAAAGTCCATGATCAATTATCCAATCATGTATCATCATTATAGATATAAAGTTCCCGTATCATATTACTTCAATAATACGTTTATGCTAATACTCCCACTTAATGATTATACTTGAATCAGTTGAATGTTTATTGTTCTTTAATCTTGATAACGCCTAACATGTTCCTGAATTTCTGAAAAGTATCTTTACTAAGTCCTTTTCTAAATATATCCGCTAGCATAGTCTCACTGGAACAATATTTAACAGAAATGATATTCTCGTGAACTTTCTCTCTCACATAGTGATATGCATCATGTTTTGTCCGGGAGTGGAATTTCGGATTTCTTGATAGCTCAATAGCCCCTTGGCTGTCTTCACAGATGATGGTAGGCTCTCGTTGTGTTATTGAGATACTATCCAGTAGTTTCCTCAACCAGACTACTTCTTGGCATGCTGTACTTAAAGATACATACTCGGCCTCTGTTGTTGATCTTGAAACCCATCCCTGTCTTTTTCTTCACCAACTCAA